GGAGTTGGATGCAGTGTCATCGACAAAGTTCTTCGAAGATGGAAGACGAAAACTTGGAGCCGTTGTCGGACACCATAGCCTCGGGAACGCCAAGATGACTAAAACGTCTCTGTACACAACCTAGAGTGGCGGATGCGGTTGATGGTTTGTAGGTGACCACTACTGGCCATTAGGAATAGGCGTCGAATTCGACCAGATGGGAAATGTCAATGTGCACTAGGGATCACGGTTTAGCTGATGGATGCTAAGGAACCGGTGATTCGTTTGGTGACATCTTAATGGCTTGTTTACATTATCAACGGCGGAAGATAAAATTTTGATTGTCGTTATCAATACCTGCACAATACATATAATTGCGGGCAATAGCCCTCATTCTGTTCATACCAAGGTGAGCAGAATGTAGATAACAGAGTAAACCTTGATTAAGACATAAAGAATCGACAGCTTGATCCGAAGTCATGAAGCTGGAGTTGACCACGGAAATGGAGTCGCGAAACTGATATAGTTTTTTGAGTACAATATACAAGGAAGTGTTTGGTCAGTATGTCTGAAAGTAAGTGACGGCCTTTTGTAAAACGGAGTTTTGAGCAGTTGCACGAAATATGTCCGCGGCAGTAATGGGGAGACTTCGGAGGGCGTTCGAGAGTGAATGAGGAACGTCGCCTTCAAAGGCAGCAGCGGCACCCACCGTGTATTCTTCTGCAGCAAATTTGAAAATGATGCGGGAGAAACGGTCGGTTTGACTAAGGCCGTAGAAGCTTTCGAAGTTGAAACCAAGGAAGATGACCACCAAACGCTGAAATCGGCTATCAGGGTTTGCGGGAATACCAATTTTTAACCAAAGGTTCAAAGTAGTGGCGTGTAATCGGTCATTAGTGTGAACCGTTGGTCATACCGCATCCTGTGGAACTTGGTGGTGGCAAAGCCGATGGCAAGGGCTTCGTTCTTGGTCTGAATATAACTCTCCTCCGCAGGCGTCAAGATGCTGTAGACGTGCATAACAGCTTTCTTGGAACCATTTGGGAAATGATGAGAGCAAACTAATCCAGTTCAGTAGACTCAGGCGTCAGTAGCTACTAAAATCGGCAAGACTGGGTCGTAGTGTGGCAGCATTAGGTCAGAACACAGCATGATTTAGGCGCACGAATGCTTTCTCGCATGCAGGTATCAATGCCAAGGTACGTCCTTCTGCAACAATTAAATGAGAGGAACTCGAACATCGTGCAGCGGTGGTAGGAAGGCGCTTTGCTAGTTGATAAAACCCAGGAGGGGCAGTAGTTGTGACACAGCAGCTGGAGGCGTCATCTGCTGCATGGCTCCGAATTTCTCAGCATCATGAGGAAGATCATTGTCATCCGAAACAAAACCAAGTTATTTGATAGACGGAAGCAAAAATGCTATTTCTCGGCTTTCAGACGGAAACCGTACTCTTGGACCGATTGAAGGACGGCAACTATGCGCTCTCAATACTCTTCTGGGGTGCAACCAACAATGAGTAGATCGTCCAGGTATGCGGCCGTACCTGGAATGCCGGAGACCAGAGAGTCTGCCGTCTGTTGGAAAATAGCTGGAATGGTTTTGACATTAAACTAAAGCCTGGTGTGCTGCAGAAGACCACGAGGCGCATTGATCATCAGGAGGGATTGTGACCCATGGGCTACCTCGATCTGCAGGTAGGCGTTTGCCATTTGTTTCTAGTGCTGTGTTGAGACCGGTGAAAAATCCGCACAGATGTGGAGGGTTCCATTCAGCTTTTTGACTATGACAATCGACGCTGCCCAGGTGGAATAGGATACAGGCACCAGGACGCCCATATATTTCAAACGTTTGAGTTCAGCTCCAACCAAGGATAGGGCTGTGTAGAGTACAGTCATTTTGGGATGGAAAATCGGTTGAACACCAGCTATGAGCTATAACGAGACATGGATGAGTTTTTAGCGGCCAAGACCATCCTGGAATACCGGGGCGAACTTTGTGATACTTTCGTCGGTTCGGTCGCTTGTTACTGCCGGATAATCTCTCTCGTTGCTGATGCCCTGAAGAGAACAATCGGCCAAGCAAAGGGTTTCGAGCAAGCCGAGTACAAGTAGATTGAACTTTGCCTTTTTGCTCTGGCACATCGCATTGTACGTAGCGCATCGGAAGCAGGCTCTACGTACAGCTGCCCAGTTAGCTGTAGACGACCACCACAGGCGCAGGTGGTAGATTGAGAGGTCGGCCCGAACGTTGGCTTACCAAGAGATCGCCGGACATCCTAGGAGATGCTGATTAAGTCGGACGGCCTAATCGTTGTTCAAGACGTTGACGAATTTGCTCTGATATGCTGCGCTGCGTTAAAACGCGACCAAGAGGCCTAGGAAGCTGCCAATTGGACCAGGATTTGGTGTGCTTCAGGTTCTGAACCTCTTTCTTGGATCGCGGGTGGGGGCCAGCCCAGGTTTGGCTCCCTTAAGAGATGTGCGTTGGCAGTACGCATCTTGGTGCTCCATCATGCCAAACGTTGACAAAGATGCTGGCGGAAATTGCCGTCTTGTAAAAACGCCAGGCACCACAGAATCGGCACGCGTATAGTAAGACTTCGCTCGGTCGGATTGGGTGGGGCGCGCAAACGAATGCGGTCTCGGTGCTAATACTGCCACACCATACCAAGTGAGACTGCGTTGTGGATCATTGCAGCATCGTGCTTCAGGTTGAGCAGCGTTTGAAACTCTTTAGCCAGGTTCTGGAGTGTGAGTGAAATATCCTGTTGTATTTATCGGTGTCATTTGAAGACTAGAGGCCAGAGACAAAAATCCGGCATTTGAATTGGCACACATTGAGTGAGCCAATTTGAAAACATTGGCATTCACTGCTGAGCACGCCTGCGTACGTGATGACGTCGTCGGTAGCACATTTGGCCAGCTACAGGCCTTGACAACGAGCACTGAACAGAAGGGACTGCACGCCAGAAATCTGGGACAACGTACGGACCGCCTCGTCAAAGGTAGTTTGCGTGGGTTCCTTTGCAAGATTAGTTGGTATAGCCTTTTTTGTTTGAGCGTATCATGGTTGCGCAGGAGAAGCCGGACCTTCCGCGAGTAAACTTTCAGCAATCCAGATCAAACTTGAATAGGTCCTGGTACCGCTTATGCCGTTCCAAACGAAACCGCGGCCTTGGCGTCGTACAGAAATCCGCCGATGCCGCTAACATCATGATCCATTGACTGAGAATTAGCACTTTGACCTGCATAAAGGGAACAACTGGAGCGTTTGTTGGTTAGAACGGACATCAATGTAAGTTGTTGCTGCAGTATAAGTATTAACTCAGCTTACATGTCATTCATGGTTCATAAACTCTCTCGTCACTGTTATCATTGTGAAGACGCCTCTGATACGATTATCAATGGCACAGTTTGAGTACGCTTAACGTAACGGCTTGGTAAGCTGGCCGATCGAACGGATTTGTGCTGACGTGATGGCAGTAGTTTAGCCCCGGGTACGCGCTGGTGAGACGAAAAATCGATTAGAGTGCGAACATTTTTAGAAACATGTATTCTGGTAGAAGCTGAGATCGCGTAACGGATGAGGTTACGCACACGAGAGGGGGGCCACGGTAGACGCACGCTGGTGGCTTGGACGTGAAGGCTGCCCGGCTAGCGACGCACACAATAATTAGGTGACCGAACCGACTCCCAATTAACGGGAAGACAACTGACCCTCTGTAAGCAATTTTACGACAAACAAAGGGTGAATCACAGCTACTGGGTCATTAAGTTAGTGAAAATAGCTACCGCGACGGGGTGAAAGTTCGTAAAATAACATTGTCAATTTGTGCGCAGTTGTGTCCTGTCTCTGAGTGGCGGATAGCTGCTCCGTTGTGGGGAGGAATTGAACTCCGATTTCCACAGAAATTACGCCGCTTTTATGGCATGTTTTTCAGTGATATTTAACAGGCCCGCACCAGTCCCCTAATCATGATGATTTATTTCTCGATAATAAGGATTGCGTGGGTTACAAATATTATTTTCACGCTGTTTTATTACGCTGGATTTGCAGACAGCGTGATTTCAAGTATCATATTTTTACAAATACCAATTCACTTTACTGAATATCATCTCCATGAGCATATGTTTAATTGCGATAAAAAGTCGAAAGAATATTATTGATTATGTACAAAATACCATGTATTCAAATCCCTAAGGAACGTTTCAGTACATTTCCTACAGACTTCTTCGCGGATGACATACTCGCTATGCATTATTTCTCTGCTGTATTCACAAGCCTGAAAACCCTGCCTTGATCGAAGTCTACAAGTACGATTACTTCCGCAAGATTTAGATTTGATGAACAATGTACCGACTAAATATTTAGTTAACAAAATGGTAGTTAAGCCTTGTATTATTTTTTTCCCTTGATACAGTCTTGCTCTGGGTACAGTAATGAAACGGGGAAGGAAGTTTACTTTTGTCAAATTTTACAAATTTCTTACTTAGTCTGAGCCCACTAGAAGCGCATGAAGCAGTCCGTTTTGATTGTCTGCACTGTGGCAGCATTCATAATAACAAACCTTGGGCATTTTTTCTCTTTTCTCACACTTGCTAATATATTTATAACATTCAAGACGCCAGGCAATCTGACAGTTATCGTTTCCTTAGAATAATAAATGATAATTATCTAAGTAATGAATGTGCATTATAAAACGTTTATTGTAAACATTGCATAATCGGCCGAACTGCTTTTATATCGTAGGCTCATTTTGATCAGCGGAGTATAGTTAACCATTTGCTCTGTAACTAATACTTCACAGCTATTGCCAATAGTTAAAAGCTGGACTTATTTGTGTTCGTTTCCTCAGTTTTCCATCGGGTATCCAAATCTTTTGGCGAGACCTGTCTTCCTAATCGGGGCGAGGTGCTGGTTCGGAGTGACCATGGTTCAAATGAACATTCGCCGGTCAAATCCGGCCAGTTTCACTCACCCAACTGGCCGAAAAATTACAATGCAGATAGCCGCTGTGTTTATCGATTTGTGGCTGGGATTGGTGAAAAGGTGCGCGTTGAGATGAATTACTTTCATCTAACCGGTGAAATGCCCCAGTAAGTTTTATTGGTTCTGGAACTTTTCTATGTTAAAAGGTGCTGTGTTTCACCAATATATATAGAGAAAATAGGCATTGAAACGTCTGCCGTAATCAGAATTGCATATCGTAATCCTCATCGGCTACTGCAGTCATGACGGCTGTCTAGTACTTTGCCGCAGTCCTTAGAAAATTTTGATATGCAATCCGTCGCAACGAACGTTCAACTAACAGTTGCGCTACAGATGGGTTTCATGCTCTATTTTATTACAGAAAACCTTTCTATAATCCAGATGAAGTTATCATTTTTTTATCATTGCCAGTTTTAGTGCCTCCAAATTTGATTACAGTTGATGACCTGCATCGCCCTGCTGGTAGTTTCACCTTTTTTTTGAAAACGTGATGGTCCATGTCACGACGAACGTTTAATCGCTTCGGAACTGCTCCACACGCAGTCAGCAAGATCGTATATTCCTAACTTTCAGCAGCACAGGACTGAATGTTCGTCAGATTTTAGCCGCGTTTTAGAGACAAATAAGAAACTTTCACACGTTTTTAAAGCGTACTCAAAAACGTACATCAAATTACATGGAAGAACAAGCGCAGAAGACCTGGTTTACATTGGTATACGTGGTTTACCATACTCATCGAGAAATACAGCAGTGCATTAATACCAAATAAAAAGTGATGTATAGCTGGGGCAGAATATCTCCCTAGCTCCATGCGGATATGAAAAACTGGGCAATAGCAAATGTGAATATAGCAAAAAAGAGACTTGTTGCGCTCATTTTCTTGGACGCAGCTTAAGTACATTTTTACAAATCGAATGCGCTACTTTACTAACACGCCATTTGTGCATGGGGAACTGTTAACCTAGGAATCTACCGCCTGCATTTTGCCCATTGTCATCTATTGGCCGAAATTCTAAATCAGTATGACAGAGCCTCACTGCGCAAGGTAGCAACATGCGTCAAAACATGTATGTCGTTAATTGACTACGTTTGACGCGAGCCTCATACTTTGCCATTTGCAAGCTTAAGCGAATTTACCGTAAATCCACTTCATCATATCATCCGCATATTGAATGTTGCCCGCCCGAGAATATCGCACCAAACCATCGGTCTCAAAATTATTTAGTTCCGTCAGGCAAGGTTGCACACATGTGATCTGACGCCATTGGTGTTTTAGTCGAACTCTTCAGACCTTTAACCACCGAGTCATAACGGGCAACTATTTTTACAACGGTTATGGATTGATCGCAGAGGCAATATTTTATGTTTGATTGTGTCAAAAAACTTACAAAAAGCAATCACAATTGCAGTACGCTTCTAATTGAAGGGAACCTTGGTCACTTCTATCACAGAGACTGCAATTATACGCATATAGTTTGAGATCGCTGCGAAACCCATTCATAAAACAAGTACTCTTAAAGTGCTTGTAATCTTGAGGGCCATTTTTGAAGTACACGTATGGTAGATAGATTGCGAAACACAACCTCAAAGTTGACTACAATTTCCATTGAAACGAACCTTGGGCTTTCGATCAGGAGGACTGTAGAAGTAGCAGATATAAACTGGGAGCAGCTTGCTTGAAAAAACTGCGCTACTATACGCGTTTCGATGTTACTTCTCAGATAGAGGTAGCAGACATCGAAACCGGGACCATTGTGATGTTAGTTGTGATCGCTACCCATAAGCCACCTTTCACGAGGGGCAATGCTAGGCACAACGGTTTATTGAACGAGGTTTGGGGGTCATTTTTAGTACACGTTGTCTGGACAAATGGTTACACGTAATAACAATGCTGACCGAAATTCCCATTGAAGTGGACCTTGGACTTTCTAGTTCGAGGACCGGAGCCGGAGTAGTAATTGCGTCCTCGTGATAGAAATACCATGATTCACTTCAATGAGAATCGCGGTCATCATTAAGGTTGCGCTTCGCAATCCATCCAAACAACGTGTACTTCAAAATGTCCCTCAACCTCGTTCAATATACCCATGTGCCAAGCGTTGCCCGTCATGACCAGTTGGCTTAGGGGTAGCGGTAATAACTAATATCTTAATGGTCCCTGTTTCACTGCCTGCTAACTCTATCGGATGAGATGTAATAATACCGAAAACTTCAAAGTAGTGTAGGGTTTTCCGGCGGTCAACACGCAATTTCGACCCCTGCAATAACTCATCATTGTCGCATGTATATAAACCATCTTGAACAATGAACAATGATTTATCACGGGAAAAAAGCAAGTGCTTGACACGTCCCGTAGGATGGTAGCGGTGAATATGATGCAAGTAAAATCTATCGAACCTCTGCCGAGATGAATACTTTGATAATTAACATCAGTGTAAAATGGAAAATGAAAAATTATCGCGCGTAAACGTTCAGAAAGACACTGGGGTGCAGTGATCATTGAGGAAAGGAGTGAAAAAGTGAAATATAGTCGCTCACTTAGGTCCATTTGATACATAAGTCCTGTTGAAAACATTCTTGGCGTAATCCACAATATAGGAGCTTAGGTAACCAACTGTTGGGAGCTAAGAGCATCATCTAATCGTATTTTGAAAACATCCAAGTTAGGAGAGGATACAACTGAGTCTGTGAGTGCGTTCCAGGGTTGGCAAAACCCAAGAAAAAAGTAGTTCCGTCGACACTCTAGACGACTTTATTGTTCATTCAACTTTAAGCATTTACCCCTGAGCTGCGTGTTGTGGCTAAGTTTCAGCAAATGGCGGCATACGTGGTTGGGGTTACTCAGTATCTGATACGCTAATATGAGATCGCCACGTAGACTTCGATAACGTCCGCTGAAAATTCCCAGCAAATTCAGCCTTCGATTGTAAGTGTGATAACGCAGGCCCTTTACATTCCTTGTTGCTCTTCGTTGTGGTACCTCTAGCGCTTCTAGGTCACGCTTCAACCAAGGTTGCCAAGTTTGGATTGCGTATTCAACATGCGGGCGCACGTAGGAATTGTGCATCATTGCGAAGATTGATGGGTCTAATCTCCCGAATGCCTTTCGCAGCATGCCGACGTGCTGGTTGCCTCCTTTCGCAGCTACCTCAGCCTGTTGTGAACAGTTGAGATCGCTCTGTACGATTACACCAAGATCAGGTTCTTGGAGCTATTCTGCAATCCGTTTGTCCCAAGTGTATAGGTGTAGTTATGTCTAGGGATTATTGTACAACGCGACATTTGTCTACGTTGAACGGTAGGGCGTGTTGAACTGACCAGTTCGACACAGTGTTAAGATCGTGTTGGAGCAGTTCATGGTCGTCCGGTCCTCTGATTCTTCGCCATATCTTCATACCATCAGCGAAAATGAGGAAATCGGAAGTAATTGATCTCGCCAAATCGTTAATGAACACCAAGAATAAACGAGATCATAGAACCTAGCCTTGTGATACTCCACACGTCACATCGATTGCATGAGAAAATGATTCTCGGACTCTCACCACTAGCCGTCGTTCTTGTAGAAAATTGCTAATTCAACTCAGGATTGGATCGCTAGCTTTGTAGATCGGATAGAAATTTATCTGGTTATCAATTCTCGCAATTGGGAATCAGTGTTTCGTTAATGTAGCAAAATCGCGAATAAAGATCTAATTGACCGCTGGTCCAGAATGTTTCAATTCCTTTTAAGATTTCGTACTAATAAACTGTATAGCCTTAGTAAGGTTATTTTAACCCTGCTCTCACAAGTTCTACACAATGCTTGTGAATTTTACTAGAGCTGAAAAATTACGAGTCTACTCAGTTTCGCAGGATTTATGCTATCGAGGGTAGCATAAGTAGGATGTGCCCTGAAGTATTTGTGTTACAGCATTCAACGTATGTCCGATTAGAATCAACAGTTGCGTATCAAAAAGAAGAGATTTTTACCGAGCACTTTATCCTAGAATGGTTCAACTCCAGTCTCTGATTTCTTCCACAGCTGCCATCTACATATGAGTCAAAAAATTAACTGAAGCGATTTAATTGTTTTTCATGTAAAGCTTTCCATCACCGTACAATTTTGCTTTGAAAACTTAATGTTGGGTGATTTAAAACATTTCAGTCATGAGACACCCGATACCTAATTGGCGCATTTCTGTTACAACTAGTCAACCGATTTTCAGGTGCTTCATTTAACCAACTTATGTTATTCCTCACTAGTTGCCGTCGCGGGGTGAACACAGCACATCAGTAAGACAGTCACGTCTCAAGTAGGAAATGCCAAGATTCAATCTTAGGCCTCTGTTGCAAATTTTCAAAACAAGTAAACTACGATTAAACAAAAGAAACCTCATCTATAAATTAACAACCAACGTACATAGAGCTGGCCGTTCAGTGAATTCCTTTTGCCCAATGCCTTGCGTTGGGCTCTTGGTTACCGTCTCCGATTGTTAAAGGTCACGTTTGGTACGCAAATATACCTAAAAACTCACTCATCAATGGAAATCAGCAAACTAGTTTAGCCCTCTAAATCTAACTACACAAGTTGTATCGAAACAGAAAACCACTTGCAATCACAGTCTGTTGGGCGTTATCAACGGATAATTTATGACGAGAGGAACCTGAGAGAGGATAAATAAACTTTGAGTTTTGTAAGACAGATTGCCCCGGGAATATAATCCCCAATTAAACTTACTTAATAGTTTAATATAGTGAAACTTTGGTCCTACAGTAACGGTGAAATATTGATGGAAAATGAATGCGTTTATTTTGCTGAAACATATGATTCTAGTTGGAACAATGTCCTGCTAACAGATTTGTTAGGACTTTTGTAAACTATTGTTCACTTTGTTGCGTGCGAAGTGTCACTTACCCATGTCGATAGATTTGCAACTATTGTTGTCTTTGTTATTAAAATTACATACTAGCCCGATACTTAACCTCAATGCAAGCAAACATCTGCCATTCTGGATTAAATTTTGCGTCAAAGATCTGTTTCATCCAATACTCTAAGAAGACATATTGCAGCACCTGACTTGTCTTCATTTTCTGAAGGTTTGAAACAAATGTGAATATCCGTAGGTTTCCCTAGTTAAGTAGATCGCGTCCAATCTCTCGTTTCTGTTGCAGTTGTAATGAAGACTTCTTAGATGTCTACATTGATGTTGCCTCTTCTTCTTTGGATATTGATCGTGAAAGTGCCTTGCTGAGTTATTTGGCATCAGGAGAACCTCACACAACAACACCGTTTTCAGCTGCAACCTATTCATCCGTGTTGGATCAGTCAGCATTATTAGGTCGATACTGCGGTGGGCATTCTTCACATCGCCCGACTGTGTTCATCAGTCTACACCGTGAAATTGTACTAGATTTCTACGCAAGCACAAACAGAATTAATAACAACAGAATATACAGCTCGAAACAGACATATGGATTTAACGGTTCTTTCGAATTTATCAGCGATGGTAAGTTGAAAATGTATAACGTGACTATGCAATTAAAGTAACTTTAATCCGTAAGATGGACTAAGTCTTCATTTACCTGTGTCAAGCATTCAATCAGCTGCTTAATAAAAAAAACTACTATTTTAGAATAAACAACATAAATCTCAGTGCCTTACTGCTAGTTAAATATTTTTTGAATGTTGTACCGGGTAGCGATCATTTCACTAAATTTCAAAGCGGAGGTAAATTTATTACTGAGATCCGGTGTATTCTACAAGCATAGTCATATATATTTATTGGTAGTGATTTGATAGTGATTATTGCCGGTTCAAATGAAGTTGATGACTTGATCACTGCCTATTTCCAAATGACCAATCTTTGCTCTTGATTGTCAAAGGCCCATTACGGTTTGCCCAAATACAGTGAACGCGCTTCCGCCAAGAAACGCAGCCACTGTTTATCGTGGCACCTCCACCAAAAATTAAAGTATTATGCGCTGGTTAGCGAGTGCCCTAAGACCATGATAGGGTTGATGAGGATTTTTATGTTTTTCAAATGTTGGTAAATTGGGTTTTGTATTTGGAGCGAGCGACAAGCAGTGTGCGCCTAATTTGAGTAGATAGTAAGCAAGTTATACCAAGGCATATAAATGTCGGAAAGACGATGGATTTCAATAAATACAGATCCTGAAGATGAAGCGTAGCTTAGGTACTAAGGATCGTCATTCTATGTTGTCAATATCAGTTTAATGGAGTACGATAAGTATCCTCATCGAACAGGATAAATAACAAAACATCAAAGCGGCTTGGCTGACTGTTTAATAACGGCGCAGTTCGAGCTATGGTGTTTCTGTCCGGAAAACGTTCTTAGGCTTACTGGAATAATTGTGGGTACCATCTACAAAAGATTAAATTGATATCGGTAGTCATGAACTATCATCGTGAATTCTGGAAAGCTTGATTTGTTTTCCGGATATGTTCAGGTAGAGTACATATAAAAAATTACGTTATTGGCTTGTCGTCGGTGTGAAGAGAACCAAGGTATGCTCAGACAAATTATTAAAATTATAGTCATCTGAATCAAAATAAAACTAGGCTGAACAGCACATGCAATATATCATATAAAAATTTCAGAATAAATGTATTTAGTTTTGCTAAATTTTAATAAAATGCCATGAAGAAACGGCATTTTTACTTTTTTCTATGTGTTCCGGTTTATTGTAAGTTCCATATTTCCGGGCTAAATTTCATGAAATAGAGTATATTATTTCTAACAATCATAGCGTTTAAATTCTGAAATTTGCGACGATCGCTAGCTAAATAATGCTATTCATTTGATTCTTGAAGCCACTTTTCTCTCATACTGCAACCTAGTTCGTGTCAAATGTATTAGAAAGCCAATATAAATCAAGCATTTTAACACTTGTTATAGTTTACATAATATGTACCGGTTTCTTACTTTATTATAAATTTAATGTTTGTTTCCATGACGTACACTCAATATCCTAGGTCAAACCTTATGATATGCGATAGTTTCAGAAGTCTTGTTCTTATATGTAAAATTTGTCAAAGATTAGCCTACATGATACCGTTGTACGAATTGATTAACCTTGAAAGTGCAGACCAGGTAATGAAGAATGTTAGTTCCCCGTATCAGAGCACAATGTTTCAAAGAGTTTTAGGGATGTAATTAGATATACACGTGCATATATTTTATGTGTTTGTAATATCCAATGGTTATGATTTGTATTTGCCTTTTGATACTCTTGCTATACCGGGCCGATTCGGTAAGTATGCGGTTTTCCTCAGGGATGTTATTCGAACATTCGGTATCGTTGATTTAAATTTGACCTGTGGGAGACTAAGGTATACCAAGAGGACCCATTCCGTTTACGTTGCTAAATTTTTATCTAAAAAGGTTCCTATCATCTTCGTTTGCAATTATGTTTGCGACAGTAAGAAATCACATATACTGTTGAATAGCACAAGCTAACAAATGTCTCCCTTGTACACATTCCGACGTGGGTGGATGACAGTGTAAAAGTTCACCAAGTGAAGCCTACCTCGGTTTTATACAGATTTTCCAAGGTTGCTTTGGACATTTTAACGTAAACTTACAGTTCATGACCAGGTCGTCGTTGATAACACTATGTACATAGTGAAACTGATGTTCGTGTTAAGTTTGAGAGAACCAAGCGTTGGCTGCTTCGTGTGGACTGTAGTTGCTCATCTATATATCATATAATTATATTTTGTTAGTTTCGAGAGAATACATGCTTAAGTTTATCCTCAAGCCAATATATACTTAGCTTGAGCAAGGCATATAGTGGAAAATTTGTACTGGTTTTTGTTAGTACGTTAACGGCTGAAACCTGTGCACCTACACAACCTTCGTTTGTTGCGCAGTTGCAATTTTGTTCAGTGGTTTTCGTAGGCGGAAATCGAGCAAAGGAATAGTAGTATAATGCCGTTAAAAACCGAGATCTAACAGGTCTCATGGAGTAATTTGTGAATAACAAAAGTTCGAACAATTATGTCAGTAGGACTGAACCCGCATTTCTTGACTCGGCATAATGTTACGTCAAGATACAAATAAATTTGTTTACCTGATTGAGTGGGGTTTGGTGAGCACAATGACAGGGGCTTGTCCCCACTTGATGGACGGAATTCAAATAAAACAGAGCAGCCGGTGCATTGTATAGTCGTTTTTGAGGATGCGTAACATTGGCGCGGAAAAGTCAATAGTTAAATGCTCATTCTACGGCTGACAAATTTGACGAGATAATAATTCAGGCAGCACACCATTCAATTGTATTGGATAACCAATTAAACTTGTGGATACTAATAGTGTGTTCCGGCTAAGTTCCATCAGATTACGGAAAATGTGTCTACGTTCATTCAAAATCTGATGCGTCAAAATAAATTCACATAATAGACGGCTATAAATGCCGTTGTACACATCTAGGAATTCGGTCTCAGTGTCACTAGTGCAGCTATACAGTGCTTTGCCATATTGACTCAGCTTGAAGCACATACTGTACATAGAATCTCGCATAACCACTAAGAATTTACGGGAGCATAAATGAGGCAAACCATCCGAATGCCCTCCATAGTAGATTATGTTCGTACGCAGAATTAGGCAACTACATGGAGTACTTCGAATTGATGGAATCGTCTTGCACCACCATCTAGAAGATCCACCTCTTGTGAGATGATCTTCAACATGTGGTCTTAAACTTATATGCATTAGTGGGATTGTAGCTTAGATGTAGTTTTGCCCTTCCCCTTGTTACAAGGAAATAGAGTACATTGTAACAAGTCATAAGCATTGGCAGAGTCTACTTTCACATTATTGCTTTTACTTGATGGTCGATCTCCAAACAAATCATAATTTCATCGGCAAAAGGCAAAACATTCGCCTGTTTGACAGGCAAGTTCTTTGATGAACACCATGAAAAAGTGTGGTCCCAGCATTGAATCGCGAAGTACACCCTAGTCCATCACATTACGATCTTACAGTGAAATCTGAACCCGAAAATTTAGCTGTGGTTAAACAAGAGATTTTCTGAACCATCCAATATCATGGTTCCCGGTAACATAGCTTTTTCGCTTTTTAAAAGGATAAGGTGATATAAGCGGTCCCATTGTCGGCTTATTCCGGCCAACCGCCAAGTCGGGGTCCGTGTTTTGCTTCGGGGCTGTGACGCTAGACATTTTTAGATAGCCTATTATTTCCTTTGTAATGATGTATTACAGCACTCTGACTGAAAGGGGAGTAGAAAAACTATAGGATAGTTGCGGGTTCTAGAAGTCCACCGCATTGTATCTGATAGTTTTTAAGTAGGTGTGATAAATTAATTTGATATATCTTTATTGGCATATTTAACTTATATATTATGCTAATTACATGCTAAGTAAATGAAATTTACGTGCCTGCGCCCCGAATGTGTAATACGTAGTAGTTAGATGGTAAATAACGTGCGCCTAAATTCTTCTGGAATTTAGACAACTACTCCATATATATCCGTGGGTAAGATGCATGCATTAAAAGCTAGTATAATTTAAGGAGCACTTTGATACATCATTTTACACTGGCTTTCTTTATTATTATTTTTGCTTGGGAATAATTTTGCAACATATATTGCTTAATTGATGTGTTGGGAGCACTTTTGCTTTCCAAACTAATAAAGTTGAGTTATTTTTGATGCTGCACATACTATCAATCTACTGACAAAGACGGTGTTAAATCTAGATTTGGCTGTCGTGGTTTAATTATTTTTGCAACCTTTACTCATGTCGGCAAAATAATACAGCTAGAACCCTTTCCGTTGTGTAATACTTACAAGTGAAATCTAAAAGCAAGCTCTTCCTCTTTATTACTTTATCTATTAATTGACAAAACTCAGATTTTGTCATACATTTTTCGATTGGTGTGCTGTCATCAACCACGCAGGTGCAAAGGTGGAAGGACTCAAGAGCATACGTATCATTTTAAATCTCTTGGTGGCCATATGACTGCGTATTATTGCGCTTAGAATTACGAGACATGTTCATTGACAAATCACCCGATTTCGGACACAGAGTTTTGATATTTCGGGAATGAGAAAACTGATCTCAAATCATTACTAATATTGGTATTTTAAAGGCTCATTGGTTGCAAGAATAATGCACCTGTGTTGCCGCTATATCTATACCATTTCTCGATTAATTTCAGCCTTAACGCCATCTGTTTAATATTTTACTCATGCTTTTGTGCGTAATGCATAAAATTTATTTGAATACCCATCTAAATTTAATCCAGATCGCACTAAGGGGTCAGCCGTGGACCTAGCACGAAAGACCGTACGTACGTGTGCGTACGTGTGGAATATGTGGGCGGTGCCAAAATTTCGGTATCCTTACGCCCAATGGCGTGAGAGGGACAACGTAATAGCAAAACGGCGGACATCACACGCGCTTGGTATACGGTGGCATGATTTGTCGTGAACCGTCAAGGTGATTTCATGCGTCTGACTTGTAAGT